ACATTATACTGGTATTGGATATTTTTTAACAACGTACCAGACAAAAGGGGCAGCTTCTGAAGTTCGCGATTTTTCGATATGTTAAACCTTGAGCTACTTTGCCGCTTATCTTTCTTTATCACAGGACCTCCGGGTTGATATTTGATCTTGTTGATCAGCGTTGGTGGCGGTGGTGCACTGGTCACCGGTGGCCCTCCTGCTACCTTGTTTGCCTACAAAACACGAAAAATAATCCCATAATAATGAAAACTTCCAAACTTCATCATTAAATATTTGCTAGATTTAATGCAGTGCAGTGCGTGCATGAAAACTGTGTATGAAGCAACAAAATATTAAAAGAGAAAAGTTTCTTTGTTAAACATAGACTTGATCTAACTATAGTTAAACAAACTTGCGTAATGTTAGGTGTGAATTCCCAAATAAAGTATTGCAATTTTTATTCGTTTTAATTTAATTTTAATAGTGCTGGTAAAAGAGTTATTCCGTTTATGATTTTAATCAAAAGTTCCTTTTCATTTATATACATTTCCATACAAAGTGGAAAACAAAATTGTCTCTTAAAAGCAAATGTGTATGTCAATCTATGTAATATCCTCATTACATTCAACACAACTGTTCCAATATTGCATTAATCCCTGGCTTCCCCAGAAGAAGTTTTGTGGTTGATCTTGGAAGCATTTATTCATTATTGGTCTTGACTCTTCATCTAAGCTGATGATCCATTTAGAATATCCTCTAGTGGTCAAAAAAGATGACAGTTACTTGCAAATGAGTCTTGGACAATTACATCATTACATAAGTAACACTCTAACTTGTTGGATCCACTAACGTTAAATGAAAAAATTGAGAAAAGTACAAGAATGATTTCAATACCAATCACAAAACTTCTTCCTGAGGAACCTGGATGACAGTGCAATCTTTGAGGAAGTGCGACCCAGAACGTTTTTACTCATTACTCTTTGTCTTAACCGTGTAAGACGAATTTCGACCTTTCTTATTTCTATAATAATTAGCTGTTAATAATCTTCCCTTTCTCAATAAAACATTTTTGTGATTGATTGAATATTCTTGAAGAAACATGCATATGTACAATTTTAGTTAGTACCTTACGTTTTCCTATTATAACACTAAAAAGATTTAATCAAAAGAATTAGACGAAAGTGCACTAAAATACGAGGTTCAATCCAAGTTATTAATGGCAGATTTTTATGTTACAGATACATGTATAATAATTTGTTTCCGACTTAAATAATTGTTCCAACCTTTAATAATTAGACATCTTTTCATGCAGTCGATTGTAAACTTTTCATATTACAAACGATCGAAAATTGAATAAATGCATTGCAAGGCAGTGTAAATACTAAAGCGTCACGCAGTACATACTCACATAAAAATGTTTATATCGTGGCAAATAACAGCACACTCTAGTTTAATATATACTATTAACTGATCTTCAAGAATTAATTATTTTTGAATGCAAACGGATCTTAATTAGGTATGAGGTTCTTAAAAGAAACTGATTGAATATACAAAGCAAGGAATAAGGTATAAAATCTATGTAAATATAATTCTAAAAATTAGAAGCAGCTAACACATTCATCTTAACGAACAACTAACATTTTTAATCGTTAGCACATGTATAAATGCACAGTAATTCCATCGTTTTGGAATTCGTTACATTTACATATATCATAAGTAATCGCATTCCATATGAATTGTACATTAATTATGTTCAGGAAGCGTGTTATAGAACAAATGTATAACACTGATTATCTTTGGTATCATTTTTAAATAAAAGAAATGAAAAAACGCTCACGTGTAATGAGTAACGAAGCAGAAGCTAAAATAAATACTTTTGTCGTTTTGCAATGTACTCATCTTTCATTTACATCGTTCTTTATTTATCAACTACGTGCATGCTTATGCGCCACCTGTGCCAGTAACATTTTATCAAAGAAAACTTTAAAATTGTTTTAACAAGTGTACGTTTAATTGAAAAAAATAAAAGAAAAACGATACTGACATATCGCACAGTAGAGAACCGCAGTAGTGTATACTCGAATACACACGAGACTCCTTGAAAGAAAACATTTCAGGTGGCACATCGTTGACACCGTGTCGAAGATGGATACCGGAGCGCTCTCGGAGCAATACTTAAATGTTACACGAAGTCTGTCAGAAAAACGGAACTGCATGCATTTCGATGTCTTTTAACAAATCAAGTCCGCGACGCGTGTAGAAACGAAAAGGAAAGTCCATGATGTACGAGAAATCGACGATATGACAGTGGTCGATTCGAATTCAAACGAATCACGTCAATCGGAAGAGGCATAGAGAGAGGGACGATATAACCTCACCTCGTCACTTGTCTCGCCGTCCTTGCCGTTCTTTCCCTTGTCCTTGCCGATCTTCGTCGCATCCTGGAACAAAATGAGTAAATTGCACCGCTTCTCCCACCGTACAATGCCACGACAGCACGATTCACGGTTCGAGACGCGGCCCGCTCGCACGAACTCGTACTTGCGATGTCACAAAACGGAAACGGAGAATTAGTTGAAGTACCATTGTCAGGTCCTCCGGAACGTTGAGCCGAGAAAACGTACACCAACGAAACAGATATTAAGAAATCGGAATCACGCTACACCCTTCGGTGTCTCGGCTACCGGGGTTGTTTCCCCGTATACTCTTTACTCTCCCTTCTTCCCTTTCTCTCCTATCCCTGTCATCGTTGTCCTCTCTCACTCACTCACTCACTCTCTCTCTCACTCTCTCTCTTCCACACTTTTTCCCTCTCCTTCTCGCCCTCAAACACGCACATATACACTCTCTCTCTCTCTGGAACGCGCGCGTGTCCGCGATCTCTCCTCGTCGGAAGGAACACTGTTTTCTCTTATAGCATGCGAGTATGCCGATCTCGCGTAAGGAGAAACGTACGTATACATAGACAATATACGACTAGAGACAGGAGCGACACACAGCACACGATGAACGCACCTTATCTTTTTTCGACTGCCGACTTGACATATTATCAGTCGCGGTTTCGAGCTACACGTGATCGAGTTAAATACGGGTTAGCACACTCCGAAAACACGTAGTAACACATCGATCAGCAGGAACCGAGCTGAAACGGGACACTCATTCGCGGCGGCCATTGGCTATGCATAGCCATTGAACTTTCGGCCGGCGATTCGCGCCACTCACTGAGAACGCTGAGCTTCGACTTTTCCCTAGCCTTGGAGCGATTCAGGAGCTTCTTTTCACTCCTGCATTTTCTTTACTGGAATAACGTGGAATAACGCGCGCGGTGCTGCGTGCAAGTAAAATATTACGAGCACCATACGTCGACCTTACGGCGATCGCGACAATTCTGCCACGTCTATACGCGGAACGTAGCGTATACGCGATAACACAGGTTATAGTATCATTAATATGTAAGCGATTCTCGATCGAAAGAATCGCAGTTTACTATTTTGTATATCTAAATAATAACAAAATCAACTGGATACGCGACAAAGAAAATAGGAATTATTCAAATTGTCTTACATGGCGGAATATAAAATTGCTATTCCACGTGTAAAGTGTGATATTAAATTGTACAATTTTAAATGCATTCAAAATGATGCACATGAAGTTGGCGCTCATATGTAATATTTATATAAACATTATAAAAATACGTGGTATCTTGTATGTAACATTTTGACAAACAAAATAAGCATCATTAACAGATAAATCATTTAAAAAAGAAATAATTTATATGCTTCTCATAATTTTTTAATTAATTTTTCTAATAATAATTTATTGGTATAATATGATTTTATATAGTCTTATGTTTTAGACCAAAACGATTATTTTATTGCCATGGTAACAAGAATGCATAAAATATTTTACCAATTATTTTCATAATTTTTATTTCCATTTTAGAACTTTATAGTTACTTAATGATATAAAATTGGCGATATTTCTCTTTCCCTAAAGAAAAGATTATGATGTCTGATTCTTACTAGATTCTGGACAATTCTGGATGAATCGAATCTGGAATGAAACATTTTAATAAGTAGTTAGCATGTTTTCGAAAGAATTGCGGAGTGTTGAATTGTTACAAAATCGTATTTAGCAGATAAGTGAGTATTAAATAGAAGAACATAAACAGCTTGAATTAGAACAACCCTTTAATTTAATTCAACTTTGAAATAGATTTTTTACAAAACTCACTGTTTGTTTTAATCTGGAGATGGAAATTCAAAAGGAACTTCCTAAAGAAAAACCAAAACCTATATTTCGCGACTTGACAGCCGAGGATCCAGAACCAGAAGCAACAGAGATAGAAAGTCTATGTTTGAATTGTGGAAAAAATGTATGTATAATGCCTAAACAAATGGATAACCTATATATGTATTAATCTACTTTAACTAACATAGTATTTTGTAATTGCAGGGCATTACTAGATTACTCTTGACAAAAATCCCACATTATAAAGATGTCGTAGTAATGTCCTTCGACTGTGAACATTGTGGACATCAGAATAATGAAATACAAAATAGTGGCAAAATTGCTGAAAAGGGAGTTAGGATAATATTACAAGTCAAAACATCTAGAGACCTGAACCGTCAAGTAGTTAAATCTGATTATACCAGTGTAAAAATTCCATCTCTGGACTTTGAAATTCCTTCTAGATCTCAAAAGGGAGAAGTCACAACGATTGAAGGTATTATAGAAAGAACCATTACTGGTTTGGAACAAGATCAACCTGACAGGAGAAAAAAACATCCAGATGCTGCGGCTCAAATTGATAAGTTTGTTGAAAAACTTAGAGAACTTAAATCTTTGAAAGAATCGTTCATTATGACATTTGAAGATATATCAGGAGAATGTTATGTGGAAAATCCTAAAGCACCATTAAGAGATGAGGAATGTACTACAATGCGATTTAAGAGAACAGCAGAACAAGATCATATGTTAGGAATTTACTCTGAAAATACGGATGACACTTTGTTAAAACCGATAAAGGAAGGGGAATATACTTTAGAGGAAATAGAGGGTGAAGTTCTTTCCTTCAGAACAAATTGTCCGGAGTGCAATTGTCCATGTGAGACTAACATGAAAATGACCAGTATCCTTTTTCTACATACAAGAGATTTTCTGTCTATTCTCTGCAGTATTTTTCATTTTCATTTTAGTATTGATAATTATAATTAGAAAAAATGGAGTTTCTCCTTAATTACATTCGTAGACATTCCACATTTTAAGGAAGTTGTAATTATGGCAACGGTCTGCGAATCTTGCGGGCATAGAACGAATGAAGTTAAAAGCGGCGGAGGTATAGAACCTCTCGGAGTGAAGATAGAAGTAACAGTGGCTGGGAGAGAAGATTTCAACCGCGATTTGTTGAAATCTGAAACTTGTCATATGCAAGTACCTGAATTAGAGTTGGAAATCGGCCCCGCAACACTTGGTGGGCGATTCACTACCGTGGAAGGTATTCTCGTAGCAATCAAAGAACAATTATCAACGTCAACAGCTTTTACTGGCGACAGTTCCAATCCCGAAACCAAGGAAAGGATGGAAACCTTCATATCTCAATTAAGTGAGGTCTTGGAGGGAAAGCGAGATGTCACGCTCGTGTTAGACGATCCAACGGGCAATAGTTATGTTCAGAGTCTCGCGGACGAAGGTTTAGATAGCGGCTTAAAGATCACCAAGTACGAAAGAAGTTTCGATCAGAACGAAGAGCTCGGACTGAACGATATGAAAGTTGAAGACTACTAATCGTTGTTAAATAAATCAATGTTCGATAAATGTCAATTCAATGTATTTGAATATGGAAAAAACATGTATTATAAATGTGCATTACATTATGTAAATACAATAAAGAAAAGATTATGATGTCTGATTCTTACTAGATTCTGGACAATTCTGGATGAATCGAATCTGGAATGAAACATTTTAATAAGTAGTTAGCATGTTTTCGAAAGAATTGCGGAGTGTTGAATTGTTACAAAATCGTATTTAGCAGATAAGTGAGTATTAAATAGAAGAACATAAACAGCTTGAATTAGAACAACCCTTTAATTTAATTCAACTTTGAAATAGATTTTTTACAAAACTCACTGTTTGTTTTAATCTGGAGATGGAAATTCAAAAGGAACTTCCTAAAGAAAAACCAAAACCTATATTTCGCGACTTGACAGCCGAGGATCCAGAACCAGAAGCAACAGAGATAGAAAGTCTATGTTTGAATTGTGGAAAAAATGTATGTATAATGCCTAAACAAATGGATAACCTATATATGTATTAATCTACTTTAACTAACATAGTATTTTGTAATTGCAGGGCATTACTAGATTACTCTTGACAAAAATCCCACATTATAAAGATGTCGTAGTAATGTCCTTCGACTGTGAACATTGTGGACATCAGAATAATGAAATACAAAATAGTGGCAAAATTGCTGAAAAGGGAGTTAGGATAATATTACAAGTCAAAACATCTAGAGACCTGAACCGTCAAGTAGTTAAATCTGATTATACCAGTGTAAAAATTCCATCTCTGGACTTTGAAATTCCTTCTAGATCTCAAAAGGGAGAAGTCACAACGATTGAAGGTATTATAGAAAGAACCATTACTGGTTTGGAACAAGATCAACCTGACAGGAGAAAAAAACATCCAGATGCTGCGGCTCAAATTGATAAGTTTGTTGAAAAACTTAGAGAACTTAAATCTTTGAAAGAATCGTTCATTATGACATTTGAAGATATATCAGGAGAATGTTATGTGGAAAATCCTAAAGCACCATTAAGAGATGAGGAATGTACTACAATGCGATTTAAGAGAACAGCAGAACAAGATCATATGTTAGGAATTTACTCTGAAAATACGGATGACACTTTGTTAAAACCGATAAAGGAAGGGGAATATACTTTAGAGGAAATAGAGGGTGAAGTTCTTTCCTTCAGAACAAATTGTCCGGAGTGCAATTGTCCATGTGAGACTAACATGAAAATGACCAGTATCCTTTTTCTACATACAAGAGATTTTCTGTCTATTCTCTGCAGTATTTTTCATTTTCATTTTAGTATTGATAATTATAATTAGAAAAAATGGAGTTTCTCCTTAATTACATTCGTAGACATTCCACATTTTAAGGAAGTTGTAATTATGGCAACGGTCTGCGAATCTTGCGGGCATAGAACGAATGAAGTTAAAAGCGGCGGAGGTATAGAACCTCTCGGAGTGAAGATAGAAGTAACAGTGGCTGGGAGAGAAGATTTCAACCGCGATTTGTTGAAATCTGAAACTTGTCATATGCAAGTACCTGAATTAGAGTTGGAAATCGGCCCCGCAACACTTGGTGGGCGATTCACTACCGTGGAAGGTATTCTCGTAGCAATCAAAGAACAATTATCAACGTCAACAGCTTTTACTGGCGACAGTTCCAATCCCGAAACCAAGGAAAGGATGGAAACCTTCATATCTCAATTAAGTGAGGTCTTGGAGGGAAAGCGAGATGTCACGCTCGTGTTAGACGATCCAACGGGCAATAGTTATGTTCAGAGTCTCGCGGACGAAGGTTTAGATAGCGGCTTAAAGATCACCAAGTACGAAAGAAGTTTCGATCAGAACGAAGAGCTCGGACTGAACGATATGAAAGTTGAAGACTACTAATCGTTGTTAAATAAATCAATGTTCGATAAATGTCAATTCAATGTATTTGAATATGGAAAAAACATGTATTATAAATGTGCATTACATTATGTAAATACATATTTTGCAATGAAATTGCAAAATTTTTAACGGGATAATTATACAACTGGTATTGCGTCAAGTTTCTTCAATTTCGGAAGTCTTTTGGTTGCCTGACTACGCCAAGACTCTATGTCCATGCCTTCACAAATAGGATTATTGATGAACAATAACTCTTCGAGAAGTGGTATTTCTTGGAGGCGATTGAACTCTGCCCAATCTTTCACTAAATTGTTGGACATGTAAAGCACTTTTAATGCTTTCAATGCATTGACACCTTTGATTTTTTCTATTTGATTGTACGATATCCATAGTTGTTCTAAATGTTCTCCAACTGCCTCTAGGCCGGAGAACGTCTTAATATAATTCCGACCCAAAGAGAGGATTTTCAAATATTTTAAAGAATTTATACCACTAATCTTTTCTATCATATTTGTTGAGAGAGATAACTTTCTAAAGAGTAGAGTAAAATGTAAGCTCATTATTCAGAAAAATAGTTATAGAAAATGTTACTAACTCCACGAGAGTAAGTGACGCTAAATTGTTGTCCATTTTTTCGATTGGTGGCCATTGAAAAGATAAAATGATTTCTTTTTCCTCGCTCGCACGTAAGCCAGTTTTTTCCTCCCATCTCTGAATAGCATCTTTGCAAGTTGTTGGTTTAGCCTGATTAAAGAAGAATGTTATTAAAGAAGCTAAAAATCATATCGATAAAAGTTTCTAATTTACAGGATTCATGATTTATAAGTCCACTCCTGCTTCGTTGAAGAACAAACGTTTATATAATCGTGATATTGCTAACGTATGAGCAATATTGTAAACAATTATTTTCAGTTAACTTCACTAGTTTATTGTATGAAATCTAAAATTCTATAGTATTAATCCCGTAATTATTTACTACGTAGAGTAATGTGTTATGGAATTTATTCGTTCCGATCCATTCAAAAATTTCTTCAGATTAGTACAAGTTAACAAAAATTCAAATAAAATATAAACTTTGTAGAACCATATGTGAGTAACACCTTTAGTAAATAAATTACTGGCAACAAAATATAAGTCTTAATTTATCAATGATGAGCGAATACGATCGAAGGATTTATGTATATTTCTACTTTTAATTGAACAATGAACTCTAACACAAGAATCGATGTTGATAAATCGTTATGGGACCAATCTACTTTCATCGGTAGATTAAAAGATTTTGCTTTTATTATCGATCTTCGTACACTTTTTGTGAGCGATGAAAGAATACATGAAGCTAAACAATTTTGTGAAGATTACAAGTAGGTGGACACTAATTATTTCATCATTTCTAAATGTTAAACGATCCGAAATACTTGTACACTAGAAAGGGCTTGGAACCACCAGGAACGAAACGATCCGATGTCATTTACGAAAAGAGACTTAAAGATAGTGCGTTTCATCCGCAAACCGATGAATTCATACCTTTTTACGCTAGACTGAGTTATCAATGGCCCATCACAGTCTTAATTACGTCTTCAATGTTGGCACTTTCAAGGTACATAAGTCCCTCTCCTAAGAGCAAAATCTTTTAACTTTTAAAAAAAATTCAACACATTTCATTTTTGATCATTTTATCCATTTCATAGAAGTACTATCGCTCTAGTAATATGTCAAATAACGAATCAGATGCACAATGCCATCCTCAATCATACATATAGAGGTGAGGTAAAAGATGATCCTGAATATGATTTGAACATGCACACGGCATTCTTTTGCGCGGTGGTAACAAGTTCTATCGTAACTATTGGATTTAAACATCTAATGTCACGAAGAGGATATGTGCAAACAGTTAGTCTCTTGTCATTTCTTTCGTACCGTTCTTTATATCACTGATACCTATACGTGTATCTCTTCTTGCCATTAGAGATGCGTGCCATTTTATGCAATAGTCGCAGGACACGCGATAAATTTGTCAATTATGCGTCACAGAGAACTCCTCTGCGGGACACCGTTGTATGCGATACATGAAACTAAACCGTTCATGGATTCAAAAGTGGCAGCCGTGAAGGGATTATCCGAATGCTTCATCACAAGAGCACTCATGTCCTTTCCATGTCTAATCATAATTCCTGTTATGACTTATAGATTCATGCCATACTGTTTTCCTCAGCGTCGACCGCTTCTTTTATTTGCAATTGAAACTTCTTTGTGTGCTCTCGGGTAATCATGAACCTTCATTTCAATTATTTCCGTCGTACTTCTCTGTGTCATCTACTGAATGATTCATTCTTTTTAGCTGCATGTTTATGATTCCATTCACCTATGCCATTTTTCCAGAACGAAAGTAAGTAATTTGAGTCAGTTTTATACGTTCTTATAGATATTTTTATATAAAAACATTTTATTAAGCTCTATGAGTCCGAAATGGTTGAAATTGTATGAACCTGAATATAAAGAATTTGAAGAGTCTTCTAAGAGCCATGTAGATACAGTATTTTATCATAAGGGACTGTAACAGTTTTCTTTAGTGACAAGAAAATAATATCTATGGTGAGAAAATAGATATATTTAAATAAAAAATTCTATCTATCGGTAATATAATTACAAGCTTTAGTGAACTATATCTATATTCTTTTTCTTTTTCTTCATTTTCATAGGTATAGGTCCTGGCATTTTGAATACTGTGCTGTAAAAATGGCCCAGAAATATATAAATTAGTATTTGATAATAAACGAATGAGAAATTAAAAAAAATAATTGAAATGCTTACTGGCAAGTTGTACATATTGGACTGAATTTACAGAATACTGCAAGGAAAATTATTAGTTATTACTTTTTACGTCTAAAATTATTATTTTTGCTTACATAATGATGTAACAATCTAATTTGTCTTACTTGATAGACATATGGAGCATACATAGCCAATATCTATGAGCTCTTGATGGCAAAAGCATGCTGCTCTATAATCTACTTTCACAGGTGGTGGAAGTACCAATTTGGACCTAACGTTTGGATCTGGTAAAAATATCCACTGAAATAGACATTATAGGAATATATAAAATAAATTTTACATACAATATAAGCAAATAAATTTCCTTACCAATAAATATTGTAATAATCCACTTAACTGTGGCACTTTTAAGTAAATTCCACCAGTGATATCACAGCCCTGTTGAAGCAAGGTCAAATCTTGATCTAAACTACATACGTCCAATATTATCCCCTGTTTATTAAAGAAATCATCAAATTACTTAAATGTTCGAGCTTATATGATATAAATTGTAATGCCAAAAGAATGATTAACCATTTTTTGGGCAGTGAAGAATATGTTCATGTAGTTCATATATTGTATTGCCGAATCATTACTGGCTGTAATTACAAGCATTCTTGAATGCAACTTTTCACCAGCAACCTTTTCCCTTTCTAATCTTGCAACGTAACACAATGCCATAGTTAATGCGCCAGACATTAAGCTTTCTCCATTCAATGGTTTATCCAAAGAAATTTCATTGATGACTTGTTGTAACTGCTGTCTTATAGTACGTTCTACCATAGTAAATTTTTCATATTGTCCATCAATTTGCCTGATTTCTGATGATTTCTCACATGGATATAAAAATTTTGCTCCATGGCTATAGCATGCTAGCACAGCAAGTTGATTGTTCGACGATTGCATCAAATGTGCATTCGCGAAGACGATAGTAGAATCTAAACATTGCGTTAATATCCTTGTTTCTTGCTTTACGATTCTTTGTACGGGATTTACGTCTAGCACAATTATTAATAAGCTCGTATCTATCTCTGAAATGAATAGAACAATTGTGTTATACAATAAATGGTTTCCTTAATACAAATTAGATAACCCCAACGAACCATTTGACATCTTGACTTAGCGCACATTAATCGAATCCCTTGATACGAACATGAATTAAAATTTATGTGACATATTTTATTGTCTTATTATACATTTATTTATAAATATAAACACGTAATATGTCCAAAACATAAAACGGATTTGTGCGATTTATAATGCTGATTGATAGCGTGTACAACGTAGTGTGCAACGAGGAAA